CTACCACACTCCCATCGGCAGAGGTATCAAGTCCTCCATTGAAGTGATATCTGAGTGGGCAGCACAGTGTCTACCACAGATTCTAACTCCAGAGAAGTGGAAACTTGGGGGCAGAAAGTAATCAGTGAGTTACAAATCTCAGTCTAAAACTCAGAATTTATCACTTGCTGCTTCTTACTACTTCTAACCAAGAAAAAAAATACTATAATTCCTACTTTGGAAAGAATGTGCAAGGAAATATTTACTTGCTTTAAGGAATTTTCTGGAATGGGATAAACAAAAGGAAAGTGTCCAGCCAATTCTAGCCAAGATTTTACAGAGCAGCTAAATCCTCAAATTCATCACTATTATGAAAAGCATCATATGTCAAATTTAATACATCAAAGTGTTTTCGTATTTTCTGTATGGTTTTATGTATGCTCTGTAGGATATTCTGTTTGTGTTCCCTACATACATGTTATCAACATATATTTATGCCTCTCTTTTCTAGGTCTTCACTGGGTCTCAACAGGAAAAGTATTAAATTGTTAATAATCAGGGCTGGCACCAACTAGGTGAGTGCACTGCAATTAGCCGCCTGACAAGAAGCCTCCCTGCTTCTTCATTTTCTAATTTTATTTGCAAGCAGTTAGATATGATATCATAATTTCCCATTTAAAACGTTACGGATAGGAATGGGAACATAAGTGTTTTGTCTATGTACAGGAGTTCTAGCACGCTTCCCTGCCTAGCCTGGACTCCAGTCACAATGACCTTTCTGTTCTGTGTTCTTGCATGCTCCTTTCCACACTTGTCTCCCCACCTTCGAGGCATCACACGGCTGACTCCTTTTTTCTCCCAGCTGCTGGCATTAAGGTTGTCTCTTCAGAGGTCCACATAATCTAAAGTAATCCTTCCCTGACTAAGCCATACTTATTTTATATTAACTTATTATCTTGGTAACACAATTACCTTAGCTCATCTTGCTTATACATTTATCTGTTATTCATTACTGTATCCCTAGTACATTGATTAGTGCCTGGCATTTACATATACAGCAATTATGCATTTGAAAGAATGAATGCTGGCAATGAGTAAATATTTATGATTTATATGATTTTTAAATACACATCAGAAACACAATAATTACAAAATTACATACCTGGAGGGAAAATCAATTCATTCTATATTTTTGAATAATTTTGAAAAAAAGAAGGAACTGCTACTCTGTGTCCTAACACCACAATTTGTATTAAATAAACTCTACGATGTCTATATATCTGAGCCTTCCTAAAGGGCACAATGATGCATGAAAGAATGCTTTTGTTTCCACAAATACTATAATTTTTGAGGTAACAAAAATACATTGGACCATGTGTGAGACACTCAGTCTTGTGAATAAAACACTATAAGAAAAAAATGTTGAGGCTGGGTATGGTGGCTCACGTCTGTAATCCCAGCACTTTGGGAGGCCGAGGCAGGCGGATAACTGGAGGTCAGAAGTTTGACACCAGCCTGGCCAACATGACGAAACCCTGTCTCTACTAAAAAATATATGAAAATTAGCTGGGCATGGAGGTGCATGCCTGTAATCCCAGCTACTCAGGAGGCTGAGGCAGAAGAATCACTCAAACCTGGGAGGTGGAAGCTACAGTGAGCCAATATCGCGCCACTGCACTCCAGCCTGGGTGACAGAGCACAGCTCTGTCTTAAATTAAAAAAAAAAAGAAAGAAAGAAAGAAAAAAATGTTGAAAACATTCTTAAGAGCAACTTCCCCAATTTCACTTTAAAAACAGGCCTATAATGAAGAGTCTGTATAAGAGAGACAAACAAAAACAAGTCATAAATTAGGTCACCAGATTTACAATAATATTTTTGCAAGAAGCTTTTATAATTTTTGGCTAGTGTTTAAGCTAGGAATATAAGATGTCCCAGGAGATTCACTGAGCTCAGGAATTCATCTTCTGACAGGGTCAAATGGAATGTCCTTTATGATCCTGGCTGAATATTTGTCCTCATACTCAAGTATGGATCATTCCATTTATCTAAGTCTGTGCTTTCAATGAAATACTAAATACTTCATTTTTAATTAAGCAAGGTATTAAATTTTTATTTTAATTACATCTGTTTTAAGTTGTAACTCTATACAGGTTCTCTTGTCTGTATTAGGGAAAATTTTTCCCATTTACCTAAAGTTCTTTTGAGTCATTCTTTCTGTCCACTCTGTAGTTATTCTAGAAATTGGATTATTGGTGGAAAATACCACGTTTACTCAACCACACCATTTATTTTTATGAGGTTTTAATTCTATAGTTTCTCAAACATCATCTTTTGGGATCCTGGAAGAATTACTGGGTATAGGAAAGTCTGGTCTAAGAAAGTAGATTTTCTTACAGAGGCCAGAGACACAGTTATAACTGGGATTGATGTCAGCATCATAAAAACACAAGCAGGCAGGACATCTGTCTTAGTATCTGAAGAAGAACTAATATGACAAAAGAAAGATGTCTTATATATCATGAGGTATACTAGAAATGAGCATAGATAAATCCTAGAATTATTTTTAAAATGCATTTGGCAGGCCAAATTTTATCAATCACTATCTAAAATTAATGTTAGTTTCTCCAAGTTCTCAGGCAGTTGTACTAGACTATTATGTCACTAAAGTGAAAGAATACCTGGAAAAATAAAAATAGACCCTTGAATGCAGGCAAGGTCCTTCAGCAGTAGTTTCACACAAATAATAATTCTATATTGCACAACAGTCAACTGATCTTATGTTACTCACATAGGATACTACATATTGTAGTAATTCAGGGGGAAAAATCAAACATGATCCTTTACCATGTTTTATTTATTTATTTATTTATTTATTTATTTATTTATTTTGAGATGGAGTTTCGCTCTTGTTGCTCATACTGGAATGCAATGGTGCGATCTCGGCTCACCGCAACCTCTGCTAGTGAACCTCCCAGGTTCAAGCGATTTTCCTGCATCAGCCTCCCGAGTACCTGGGATTACAGACATGCGCCAACACGCCCGGCTAATCTTGTATTTTTAGTAGAGACAGGGTTTCTCTATGTTGGTCAGTCTGGTCTTGAACTCCCGACCTCAGGTGATTTGCCCGCCTCGGCCTCCCAAAATGCTGGGATTACAGGCGTGAGCCACTGCGCCTGGCCTGCCATGTTTTATACCCATATTTTAGTAACCTCACAAAGTTAAAAGTGTTTTCCAAATGAAATGTCAGAGAACTGTTTATTTTACCCAGTTATACTGTAACAACTCCTGGATGGCACTGTGTCTAGCCTCAAGGAAACAGAACCAGTACAAAGCTAAGTTAAAGGCAACTTTATTACAATACTTTTCCAAACTTCAAAATGCATTTATTACTAAATGTAGCTCTAATATATAATACACTATATTACAAGGCAGAAAGCATTTCTGGTCATATATTTAGCTTCCATGTATTGCCCAAAACACAGCTTCCTAGGAATAGCAGCAGTGCACAGTAGTTTATATCACTAAGTAAAATATTTCTCTGATGTCTCATAATCATTCATATTATAATTTATGTTCTTCTGATTAAAAAAAGCAAAGCTATCTTTTCTATATCTTATTAGTTAATACCTAGAAATTGTCTATACTCTAAAAACATCCACTAGCTTAGAGATATTTCCTTTGATAGGAAATAGGATTTGAAAATCCAACCAAACCAAAGAATACTGTATTTCTCCATTGCACATGGGGTAAAATTCTCTTCTTTCCTTTTCCAGGAGCCAAATCTGGACCTCCTCCTCTTCATAGAGCCATCCTGAATAGTACCTACTTTAAAAGATACCTAAATCTACACTGCGTGCACTCTTCTTTAATAAAGTCTTCTCTGTTTATTCTTGCCTCCTTATATTTACTTATTTAGAATAATTTACAATCAACCTTGAATGTTACATAATACTAAACTTAAAAAGTAATCTTGGGAAATGTTAATAACATAAAGGAAGTATTTTCCAAATTAGACAAGGACATTATTTGCTCATTATCCTCTGCTTCAACCAACCAACCAAATTCAACTTATGAAAATAATTCATTTTCCAAGGTTACTACCCTAATAACAACAAAAACAGATACAAATCCACTGAACAGATCTAGTCCCTTAATATTCTTTCTTTCTTTTTTTTTTTTTTTTGGTTTTACATTTGTGAGCTACCAGCTAGCATAAAACATGTTCATCTTCCTTTTCTCACAACAATAGGAAATTATTAGAAAAGTATAGAAAAAGTTCTATTTTTTCGTAAGGCAAATTTAATACAGATTTTGCTATGAAGTTGAAAAAAAGTAAATGAAAAGGTATGTGCTGGCTGCTTGGGGGACAAGGCTCATAAATCACTGTACGTTAAGAGCACGTGCTGAAACTTCATGGTGCCAGTCACGTAATTTTGTGTATTTGGGACTAAAGACGTGAAGGGGTATCTTTTCCCTGTGGAAAAAAAAAAAAAAAAAAAAAAAAAAAGAGTGATAGAAGAGTCATAAGAAATAGAAGGAAAAAGGCTCTAGACTAATTCCATCATGCAGAAAACATGCCTTATAAAAGCTTAATTTCACATAGCTACTTTATTAAGTGGCAAAGATTTTAAGGGTAGAGCATTTTTAGAAATACAGAAATTAATCCATAGATCCCTCTTGGAAACATGTATTTTTATGCTCAAAATAAAGTGACTGCAAGACAACACACAAGCACATTCATAGACATATGTATTGTTAGCAAAGCACCCCAAAATACACCCTTCTGCCCACTTCTTATTTCAATACTAAGGAAAACACGCCTTAAAACCCAGACAATATTCACTACTTTAAAAATCTGCAAGTTGTACATTTAGGTCACACAAAAGGCACCAAAGTTAAATGCTTAGCTTCTAGCTGCAAAGACGAAATGCCATACCATTACACTTGACAATCTGAAAAACCAAACTGAGACCATTCATGAAAGGAAAACATTCAATTGACAAAAAGATAGAGAACTTACTTTGCCTTCTTTGTATTATCAGCTTCAGATTCTTTCACTGAAATATAATAAGCAATATCCAAACATTAGTTTGTTTTGTTTAACTTCAAAATCACTTAAGCAATTACCTGCACCAATCAATATCAAATGTTCAACTTCCATGGAGCCACTAAAACGAATTCCACAGTAGCCTGTTGTTGGCTATAAACTATAGTTAGTACAACTACTATTACATCTATACTTTTCATGGGCTGGTGATTTATTTATTTATTTATTTATTTATTTATTTATGAGACAGAGCCCCTCCCTCCGTAGCTCAGTGTGGAGTACAGTGGCATGATCTCAGCTCACTGCAATCTCTGCCTCCCCGGTTCAAACGATTCTCCTACCGCAGGCTACCAAGTAGCTGGGATTACAGGTGTCTGCCACGATGCCTGGCTAATTTTTGTATTTTTAGTAGAGGCAGGGTTTCATCATGTTGGCTAGTCTGGTCTCAACTCATGACCTCATGATCCTCCTGCCTCGGCCTCCCAAAGTGCTGGGATTACAGGAATGAGGCACTGCACCCAGCCTGGGGTCTTATTTATATTACCCATGTTATGTACAGCATAATTTAAAAGCAAACTGTCTCGGGGTTGTTTTCTGACAACTACCAATCAGTCTCAATGCTACTCTCTGTGGCAAAAAAATACTCATCCATTAGGACACCTAGAAGTTCACTTACAATGTTCAGTCCCAGTGATCTGGGCAAGGATTCGGAAAGAGCGAGACTGAGTTGTTCCAGTCCTTGGACGCCAGTCTTCAGTATCCTCAATCAGTCTCTTCTTGCTGGCATCACTGTGAGTGGGTATATGATAAAACTCTGTATTGCGCTCCACAATGTGTTTTCTTGGTGGGCTAGGGTTAAGGAGAAAAAAAAAAAAATTTAATTGTAAAATTATATTAAAAGGATAAAATATCTTCTAGTAAATTATTTATAATTTATATGATTAATCTTCAATGTTCCTTTTACATAAACAGTTTGCTTTGCAAGTATATTCAGTCTCAATTTTTTAAAAGATCTATCTAAAATAGGCTGGGCATGGTGGCTCATGCCTGTAATCCCAGCACATTGGGAGGCCAAGGTGGGCGGATCATGAGGTCAGGAGATTGAGACCATCCTGGCTTAACACAGTGAAACCCCATCTCTGCTAAAAGTACAAAAAATTAGCTGGGCACGGTGGCATGTGCCTGTAGTCCCAGCTACTGGGAAGGTTGAGGCAGGAGAATCGCTTGAACCTGGGAGGTGGAGGGTGCAGTGAGCCAAGATCGTGCCCCTGCACTCCACCCTGGGCAACAGAGCGAGACTCTGTCTCACAAAAAAAAAACAAAAGAAAACAAAAAAAACCTTTTAAATTATAAGTAAAAAACTGCACTTACAATATTAATATAAAATAACGCTATTAGAATGTATTCAACAGAAAGATTACCGTTTAGGTGGGATTTTCCTTTTAATTGACAGAGGAAGGCAGCAGAAGAAAGATTTCCAACATGAAGAAAAAGGAAAGGAAAATGATAAGAAAAAAAGAAAACAACTAGAAAAGTCCATAGTAGTCAAAATCAAACTTCCTGAAATTATTTGTATTGTTCATTGTATGCCACATGAAACATAGATGTGGACTATATTCACAACGACCATTAATATCAATATGCTGCTAGAATGTACTGGCTTTCATGAAATTAAATGATCAAATCTTCACTAGGCCCAGGAGCCAAGTATGGTTTAGTAGAGGCTAAACTAGCAATTCCAAATACAATTTTGAAAAGAGTCCAAACTATTCCTTTCCACAGTTTTCTCATTCATATGTACAGGTATTCCTTATCCTAAAGATAGCTGTGTGTGGGATCAGCACAGTGAAGAAGAAGTACGGCATATGAGCAACTACTGAAATAGGTATTAAAAGATCAGAATTTAAAGCTTGGCTCTAAGACTCTTTAGAAAGTCAGTCTCTTGAATATCACATACAAGGTAGTGTTCTGAGGATGTGTAAACTACAGAGTTCAAGAACTTTGAGTTTGCTATGAACATTCATTTTCATTTTAAAAGGGCATAAATACAAAGGAATTTGCAATGTGTATTTTAACACTGTATGATATACTGAGCATAATGAATAGTCTCCACTTCTCCCCCCTCAAAATAGGGCAAATGCAAATTTTTGGAGGCTATGAGTTTAATTTCAAGAGAAAAAGGAACATGAGTCTGGACTAGGAGACTACTGGCACAAGATCTGAGTACAGAAAGTGTTATAAATGTGGTCAGATGTGAGTGGCAACACCTGCTAGGTTCAACTCACCGTGAGAAAACAATAGTGCTATCTGCAGGCCACATGACTGTTATCATTTTAATAGCTACATAACCAAAACTGTCTCAGCACACTGGAAAAGCTTTTCTCCAGTGAAAAACAGGATAGAATTACAGTTAGTAACACTGGCTTTAAAGTCAGATTCAGTGTGTGCTTTATGCAAGTCATTTCTCTAAGCTCAATTTCCTCATTTGAGAAATAAGACTTGCATCTTAAGGGGTTATTTAAGAACAAATAAGATAGATAATGTATGTAAGGTGCTTTCTGCAGTATATAACATGAGGTAATGATCATCATAATGTATTCTTTTATGATTACTAGAAAATCAACTGCAATACATGTTTAAGACTATGAATAATCTGCATATACAAAATAACAAATCAGTAATATTTATGCAAAAAATCATAAAAAATACTATAACTTGTGGTAATATGGTAATATCATATGATTCCGCAAATAAAATATCTAAAAGACCTTCCACTAATATTGAACAAAACCTAGTTCTTTTAAAAATGAACAAAATGTTTTAAAATTAGGAAACAAGCATAGATTTCTTCATAAACACATTGCCTTTGGCAGACATAAAACAGACAACTCTTTATCTAATGCAAGTACTTGAAAAATTTTATATTCAGTTATTAAACTTATTATAGTTTTAAATTTCTCCACAAGTATTGAGTGTAGTTTGCTCTTAAATGATGTTAATTTCAAGTGTAAGACTATTTTATCCTCTATAAAAGGTTTGATCTCTAAAAACAAAACAATGGTGTCAAGCTAAGATATCACGAATAATAGAACGACACTACCTAAGTAGCATTTTTAGCTATGACACACTTGTAAAAAGTACACTACCCCTTAGATTCTTTGTGTTGTTTACCACACCTTAAGGTCTTATGTCAAATGATATGAAGTTTCTAAACATTTAGTGCTTTCTGGTTCTGAAACTCCAGAGTGTGATAACTATGATGAAAGAAAAGAAAAATTTCAATAATTTTATTTTAAGAAATACATTTGGTATAGAATGTAAAATTTACTCTCAGGGGCAAGTAATTTATTTCAAAATATGAACATTAAAAAAAATAATAATAAACTAAAGGAAAGCCCAAACTACAGTTCTAACTCCGGTATACACTGTCCATAATACTCATCTATCTCAATGAAGGTTAACTTACTAAGTTTTTAGTTACAGAAGTGTGGGTGTTCTAAACATACCACTGATGCATACGAAATTCTCTAGCATAAAAAAAAAAAAAAATGCTTCTTATGCTCCTTAACATTTTTGAAAATTCTTATGAGAAAATCCTAACAAAATTTGCTGGTAGTATTAAACTGAAAGCAAGAAGGAAAGTTACAGAGACAATTACAAACTGAATCATTGGTTAAGTACTTACACAGTGCCAGGGTTACTGAGGGAAGAATAATACACACAAAAAAGATGTGATAGAGAAGAGAAGACATTGATGTTCCCCGGAAGATGACCAACAGACAAAGAGGGGAAAAAAGAAGAAAAAGAAAATAAAATGAAATTCATAACACAATGATTTTCAGTGAAGATGTTACACAAACATCATGCTTCAAAATAATCACGTAAACATAGACAAAAAATGAACAAATGTTAGTAAAAATTCTACTACACTGTTATAATCAAGACAACACTTTTGTTCCCCCATCCCACAAAACACTGAAAACTATTTTACATATTAATGCTACTTCAAGTATCAAGTGACTGAAAGATCCACTATTTTTTTAATGCACAAGGTTTTATAAAAATCATTTAAACATGAATCCAAATTCTTATGTTCTTAACAAAGAACAGAAAACAATCAGATGTAAAATACAGAAACAGATCATTTTAGAATCACTTTTAAAATCAGAAAAGAATAAGAGAAAAATCTTTCAGTCTCACATAATAGAAGTATATATTAATAGCAAGTGTAATTTCTCACATGAATTATCTTGAATCATATGTTATAGAAGAATAATATGTTATTTGAATTTTTTCTTGTTTCTATGATGAAAAATGTAGGAAGCACAATGGATCACAAATAATGAGCTATCACTCAATTTTCTTACTCTCTCCTGTCCCTCATTAATACCACCCTCATTCACAAGCAAGTTCCAGTAACTGTAGAAGTGATTTGTGGGAATTCCATAGTTCTGTATTATCAGTGACACAATTATTGCCCAGAAGGCATGTCTGGTAAGACATGGTAAAGGAACTAAGTTAGTAACACCTGAAGCAGGAGAACCTCAAAACATAATTCATTCACATAGCCTATCTTTTCAGTACAGAATCATTAACAACACATTCATATTACAGTAGGGATAGAAAAGACTAAAGTATAAACTGTATAGTTTGCCAAATAACACACTGTAGCATTTTTCAATTCTGCAATGACGTTTAGTCAGAGTAAGTGACAATTCACTACAAACATAGTAAGAAAAACTGCCTACCAGTTTTAATGCTAAGGCTGGTCAGTGTTGCTATATTTCCACATATCAAAATCAGTTTCATAAACTCAAGAGAGGGTTGAGTTACACTGAGTGAGTGTGAGATGCAGGATAAAGTTGATCTCAATAGTTTGCTTGCATTTACTCTTCTGTAGCCACAATGCACAGTATTCTCTCCTCTGCCTTGTTATTTTAAGTAGCAGGGAAATAGGTTTGCAAAATAATCTCATCCTGAACAGAGTTGAGTTTTAGATGTATATTTAAACATTTTAAAGTTTAGGAAAAATGTTTTATATTAATGTAAAATTAAGTGGGGGTAAATGTTCAATGGTGTGATGGAGGGGCAGCAAGTGGAGGGTTGACTGATTTCAACCTAAAGGTGACAATTTGAGTATGCCAAACAAATATTTTTACATGTTTTAGAAAAAATGCCCAAATGGAATAGTCCAAAATACACAGCAGTGGCAAATGTGCTATCATGATAGTCAGGTGATCTGGTTTCTCATTCTGGCTGTGCTGCCCACTTTCCCCCATGCCATGGGCAAACTGCAATCTACAGAAGCCTCATTTTCCTCAACAGTGAAATCAATGACAATTTCTCTGTGTTTCAGACTTTCTCTAAGGGTTTATGTTTAGCATATTTGAAGATACTTTGAAAACTACACAAATACAGGTTTACTGTTGGAAAAGATTACCCAACTGCTCAAAAAAAAAAGGGGGTGGGGGAGTATCTAACTCAATTGTAGTATATGCACATCAACTGATTCATATAGCTTCAATTCAATTCTATAATCATTAAGAATAAATACTAATCCAAAGTTACAGAAATAAGCCCAGTCACAAGCAGGTGACATAGGGAAACGCACATCAAAATTTGGCTTCAAAAGACCTAGGCTCAAATCTTATCTCTATTACTTATAAGATATGTGACTTGAGAAAAGTATGTAATCTCTTGGCATCAGAGTTTAAAGAACCAAATCACATAATGCATTTAGAAACACCTAGAACAATGCATAGTAATACCTAACAGATTAATGAATCTTAATCTTGAATTTAAAAAAATTCTATCTAACCTAAATGCTTGTTTTTCCAAATCCCATTCTCCCCCTTTACAAGTCAAACATTTTTACACTGGAATCTAGTAACTAGCCTAAGTCTCCATCCAGAAGAATTTAACTTTAAATGGACATAAAATAGAACAGGGTTTGGGGATGTTTACACTGGTATTCAATACTCCTATATATATAAAACGTAAAACTGTTCAATTAGTGAGACCATAGCCACACTGGAATGAAGTTGCTCTGATAATTCAGTAGTTGATTCTCTTGGATGTGTCCCAGGAGAGATACTTCGTATGTCCAATTCTACTTTATAGGATGATGGTAAAAAAAAAAAAATTTAGTACACGTTCAGAATAACTGTAAGTTAACTAATAAAAATTATTTTAGGTTCTTATCTAAGGTGATTTTTACCTATTTTTTGTTGTTGTTGTTGTTGTTGAGACAGAGTCTCGCTTTGTCGCCCAGACTGGAGTGCAGTGGCCGGATCTCAGCTCACTGCAAGCTCCGCCTCCCGGGTTCACGCCATTCTCCTGCCTCAGCCTCCCGAGTAGCTGGGAGTACAGACGCCCGCCACCTCGCCCAGCTAGGTTTTTGTATTTTTTAGTAGAGACGGGGTTTCACAGTGTTAGCCAGGATGGTCTCGATCTCCTGACCTTGTGATCCGCCCGTCTCGGCCTCCCAAAGTGCTGGGATTACAGGCTTGAGCCACTGCGCCCGGCCGATTTTTACCTATTTTTAAAGCTAGTAATCATCAGCCAGTGTAGTGTCAATACCAATGGAACACAAAAGTGAGGTTTGAAAGTTATACCATAGTGATTCCCAACATCTACACCAATAGTGACATTTAATCAATTGGTATTTATCTCTCTTAACAAATTTCAAAAGTATGTGGACTTTCTACTATCCACTGACACACAACTGTACCTATAGAGGTCTGAACCTGTCAGCAACATTGAATTAAAACTCTCTAGAAAAATCATAAAAGTTCTTAAGAGACCTTACCATTGGCTTTTGACACTGATTTGGACATCAACTCAGTTTTACATGTTATTCACTAGTTGTATAAATGTTTATGCTTTCTCTTCTGTCTTTGTGTTCTACCAGTCTCGACTAATATAAATTACATTCTCCCAAGCACTGTTTCTTTTAAGCCAATACATAGCAAAACCCACACACATTTTATGACTTACGTTAAACACTACTATTTATTACTATAAAGCAATTCACCACAACATAGCAATACAAACCAAGCTTACTGAAAATACTAAATGTGGTTATTCTAAATTATGGCTCTTTTGCAAAATTTAACTTAATTTTGCAAAAATCAGGCATTCATGCTGTTTACTCATATATAAATCACCATATTTCCTCTCCAGTAATGTGGATACTAACTTTGTCACTTGTGTTTTCTGCAAAGAGAAAAGTATTTTAAAATATTACTACACTATCATTATTTTTTTAATCTTCCAAGGCCAGGTCCTTCAAAATACCACACAGGAGCTGTTAGAAGAAATTTCAGTCCAACAAAATTAAAATTATTATAACAGACTAAAAGACTTACCTCTTGAAAGCAGTGGCACATTATAATGCAAGGATATATGGAAAAGGAAAACGTAAATCACTTAAACTACTTGATGCAAAACAGCAATCCTTCCAGTTTGAAATATAAAGTCCCACTTTGCTCTTAGTAGAGTAAGGAGAGTAGTAAAGAAAACAGCCAGTCATGACCAATAATTTGTACATACAGAAGAAAGGTTTAAAGTTTCTTAACATGCCTTAATCCTTACTCATAGGAAGAAACAGGAATGCTTACATACTATTAATTTAAAATATTCTAAAAATATCAACATTATGTACAGATTTCATGCTATTAGGATGAACATCTAATTATTTCTTAGTAATGATGCTTCATTAATACACATCTGTTTATGTCTTATGTTTATCAATGTTATACAAATTTGTGTGGAATAGCTATCAAATTAGCTTAAAAACTAAAAACTGATAGTCCTCCTGGTGCTTTGAGGAAAAAGACAACCTAAGCATTTAACTTTACATCCTTCTGAACTCTCACCATTTTTGGTCATTGGTATGTATTTTTTTTTTTTTTTAATTAAAAAGTAACTAATATTAAGTAACAACTCTGGACTTTAAAAGAGTTTTGTTGTAGGTATTTTGCAACATTATACAAATCTGGGAAATATAATAGTAACAAGTTTGACACTGACTCCAGAAAAAGTTTCACAACTTATGCAAAAAATGCATCCATTAACAGCACAGAACACCCACTCTTCAAAATGACACATCACTGACTAGTAAAGCATATAATTTATTTTTATTTCTACAATTTAAATATTGTGAGAGAAAGGGCACTACCAATGAATGTGTCTCAGAGTTTCACAGACAACACACTTTAGTTTCAGAGTAATCAAGTTTTTATTGTCCTAACATCTAGACATTTTAAAATCAAGCTATTTTTAAATATATCCAGTTTGCAAATGCAAAGCAGTAACTTGCCTGAAAATGATGCAAAATATGTAGTAATCTCTTTTCTCCTGAATTTTGCACAGTGCTGGACAGCAGGCATGTGCTTAATAAACATGGTCAATTGATTAAGAAGCCATCAGAAAGGCTCTATAATACTGCCTGGTTTCAGTTTAAAAATAATAAGCTTTAAATCATTTCAAGTTTTATCACCAAAGCCGTGCTTACAAAACACAAAACTTAAGCTTGGTATTTTCAGATGTTTTAAAAGCAGTACTTTTCCATAACCTCAGTTTGCTTTTAACTCTACAACTTTCCATTAAGAAGAGTTTTTTATGAGATTTCAAGAAGTGCTAGTAGAAAAGATTTTAGTTAAGACACTTCCTTCAATGGATGTTTTTCTACTGAACTTGGAATTTAATAAACATAGTAAACTTCTGTTTTAGTCTTCTGTGTGGTTTGCATTTAACAGACAGCATCTTTCTTTGCAGGGTATCTACCCTGATTACTCGAAAATATATTGTCTTAAACATACTTAAAAAAAAAAAAATTACAACCAAACACTCCTGAACACTCCGTACTGTTTCTCTTCCTCACATGAAAGAAAAAATAACATTCTGTTTTGAAGGATACTAGTTTTCCTCTCTCTCTCTCTCTCTCTAAATATATATATATATTTAAATATATGTAAGTATATATTTAAATATCTCTCTCTCTCTCTATAAGAGAGAGAGAGAGAGAGGACTTTAGAAAGCCACCCACAACCTCGAGACCGTATGTACAGCCCAGGAGCTGTTCTTCCAGAGCTCCTGCTCTCCCTTCTCTCAGCAGCAGCCTGGAGTTTTGCCACCTTCTCTTTCAAAGCCCCAAAGTTGCCATGGCAGCAGTGCTACAGAAAGCACAGCCTCTTCATTACAGGAATTAACATTTGGAAGGGATTATCTCAGAGAATGGACCTATCCACACAATTATTTTAATTATATTTTCCTGGGAACTGGCATTGGTAAAAATCATCAGGCCTGTAGACTATTTTCCTTTTAAGGTACATTTTTGTCACAATAAATCTGATCAAAATGATTTTAAATAAATGACTGCCTTAAAGTATCACCCCTGAATTCCAAAAGGAATAGAAAGACCATCATTATTTTCTCTCTTTCCTTCTTTAGTTTTTTCTTTGCAAGTAGGATTATATTATAGAAAAGAATTATTTTTTAAAAAGATACTGTACATGACCTCTCATGGCCAACTTAAATCCTTGCTCCTCAACATAAATTCCTATCTGATAAAATTACATTTGAACTGGATGTGTTAAAAAAATAAATAAACAAATAATTAAAGGTTGCTGAAAGAGAGATGTGTGATCTTCTAACTATGTGTAGTTCAAATAAGTTAATAACTTCAACCAATTTTTTTAATAAATACATACCCCCGAAAGGGAAAAACGATATGAAACAGATTTTCAAAATGTTCTGCTAACATTATATATTTAGTGTCCAATGGTTTAAATTTACTCATTTTAAAAAGCCTTTACAATGAATATAATTTTTATATTCATTGTATTTTTATAATTTTATAATTTGCTTCTAATGCTTTCTAAGCATGCCTTGTTTCATTACTGTCTGCTTTAAAAGAATAAATTCCAACTTAAACTTATCTGAAAACAATGTTGTTAGCTCTCTGCTCTAAGCTAATGAATGCTTCATATATAGACATGAGTCAAAAGTAGACTGGTTTTCCTAAGATTACTTCCTAGGAAAAAAACCACTTACAAATTCAAGATTTACCCTCTCCTTAGGATGAGCTGCATAAGGTGACAACAACTGTAATCACTGCTTGAACTTTTGGTGGCCTGTTTAAAAGGATGAAAAAATTGAGGAAGAAAGATTCAAGATTTGCCTTGCATTATAACTGCCAGCTGCTCAATGCTGTGTCAGGACTTGCAGAAAATGAGTTACAGAGATGTTACATGGTTCAGAACATGTCAAAATGCACAAGTAGGTTTTGAATAAGTGATAATTGCTTTGCAGAAAGTACCCTATGTATATAAAAGCCATATGTTAATGAGGCAAATAACACTTCATCTCCCTTCAAAGAAAGCTGGTTTTGGGGGAGGGGAATGTAGATTATTTCCTGGAAATTACCTGAAAGAAGAGTTCTGGTAAGAGCAGAAAGCACCCTTAGCCACCTACCCATTTTGCTGTTTACTGTCACCCTGGGATCCTCTTCTCTGTCCCTCTGCTAGCTCCTGAGAAGTCTCGGAACACACGCTGGTGACTGTGGGCTGCCGTGGGACATTAACTGCAGTTTTACCAGCGCTCAGTGCAGATGGAGACTGGTCAGCACTAAGATTGGCATTAGCATGCAGTCCAGATGCAGCAAACGGGGGAGGAGTGACGGCAGCCACGGGTGAAGGGGAAGCATGTGATGAAGTGGTCGCATGGGCTGGGGTGAAGGCAGACGATGGTGATGGGATGGATGTGACTTTTGGTGAAGACACAGAACCAAAAGGCCGTGGTGCCTTATTGTAGGCCATGTTGTTTGTGGAAGTGACTTTGGACACAGCAGGAGATGTAATGGGCACAGGTTTAACTACTTCTTTAGGTTCTCCCTATGTAAAACAAAAATAAACATACACAAAACCACGCCAAACACATGCAAAATATATTTCACTAAAAATAACACAGAGTTGATTTTTAAAAAGACAAACACAATCAGGTTAGCAGCTCAAACATCACATTTCCAAATAAAAACAATGGGCTGAAAAAGCACAGCATGCATGCTAACTAGTCCCAACATGCATAACACAGATGCACACACTAAGTATAATTTTTAAAAATAAAAATGAAAGTAGTTTCAAAACATTTCGGAAATACAGCAGGAAAACTATCAGAAAGCGTAAAGCCCATCATCAGTTTCAAACTAGGCATACCCCAAAGAAAAAAATTTTAAATACCCTATGATTAAAAAAAACATTGCTAACTGAGGTGGTTTTTTATTTTAAAATATCCAAAGCCCATCTTTCCATCTTTCAAAGCCCATAGTTCCATTTTTCAAACATGTTTAATTTCTCTCCAGAGTGGAATTATTTGTTTCATGCAGGAGAATCAGCACATTTATAACTCTTTAAGTTAAAAAACAAAACAAACAAAAACAAAACAAAACAAAAAAAACAACAGGGAATAAGTTTCACCTAACTCAGTAATGTGCAAGCTCTAATTAATAATCTTAAAGAATGTGAAAAAAAAACTTTAAAAAGCAAGCAAATAAACAAAACAAAATCATTTCTTTCCTGTAATCCACCTCCGTTTCTCTCTCTGAATGTTTTAAGATTCTATTTAGAGATAGAATAAAATTCTTTTCCTTTTCCAAAATAAATATTTAATAGTTACATGAAGAAAAAAAAAATCTTCAATATTTCCTCACTGTCAGCAGCCAAAGAAAAAACAACTAGTAAGAAAGGTCAGCTCCTCCTAAAATTACCAGAATTTGTATTTGCAAATCCTTATTCTAAAACATATTTAAAGTTAAAATCAGACTAAGCTTCTACAACATTCAAGAATAAATCCCAGGAGGGGGGATAACTCCAAGGTAGAGCATTAGACTTCAGATCAAGAATAAATCCCTACTCTACCCTACCATATAAAAAGAAAATCAATCAAATTTTTGAAAAATCACAGAATGGTGGTTCTCTGTTTAATTTTAAGAAAAAAGGTAATCTCAATTCATCCTTTTTTTTTTGAGATGGAGTCTTGCTCTGTCGCTGAGGCTGGAGTACAGTGGTGAGATCTCAGCTCACTGCAATTTCCACCTCCCGGGTTCAAGCGATTCTCCCACCTCAGCCTCCTGGCTAGCTGGGACTACAGGTGCGTGCCACCATGCCCGGCTAATTTTTTCATATTTTTAGTAGAGACGGGGTTTCACTGTGTTAGCCAGGCTGCTCTCAAACTCCTGACCTCGTGATCTGCCCGCCTCGGCCTCCCAAAGTGCTGGGATTACAGGCATGAGCCACCGTGCGCAGCCTCAATTCATCTTACAGAAAGAAGAAAACTAATTGAGAAGAATAAGTAGCTTAGTGCCCACACGAATCAATACAGGTTGAGTATCCCTTGTGTAGACAGCTTGGGACCAGAAGCATTCAGATTTCAGATATTCTCAGATTTTTGAATCTTTGTAGAATGCAGGAGCATCCCTAATCCTAGAATCCAAAATCTGACATGCTCCAATGGTCATGTGAGCATGTCAGCACACAGAAAGTTTGGGATTTTGGAGCATTTTGGATTTTCTAATTAAGGATGCTCAATCTGTATAATGAGTAGTTCAATAAATGGGCACAAATAAAATTAGGGAAAAAGCACCCAAAAGCATAAAACAGATATATATGAATAGTAGTTTGAAATTATTTTGAAGACATATATGCAAGAAAATGGATACTTGTCAATAACCTAAGAATACTCTGAAATGTAATTAAGCACTTATTAATAAAATGTTATTAAAGACTTATTGTGATAATAATTTTCAGTAACCACTTATTTATTCTCTTTAGAAAATATATGGATATTGATAAAGATGGGCACATCAAAAGTGAATAGAAATGTAGGAAATCTGACATAAGTTATTGTAATATATGGCTTTGGAAATAATGTTTTATAACATGTATAATTACAAACGGTATGTGCTGATCTCCATTTTCCTCCTCATCCCTGAAGGAAAAGAACTACAAGGAAAATTGCACTGAGACTATAAATTAAATGAATGTCAGTATGGTCTGAGACAGAAATGGGAATTACAGTAGCTCAGCAAGGACAATCAAATGATACCCTGGATGCTAGCTTAGAAACATACCTTTTGAACAGGAACCGGCTCAGGCTTGGGTGTAGCAGATGCTCTGGGGAAAAAAGAAAGAAAAAGGAAAAAAAAATGAATTTTTATAAACTTGCAGACTTCTTAATGGAATTTTTACTATTATAAGCCTTAATATACTGAATCATTGGAATTTATAGTTTCATAATTCATAGTTTTTACTATTCACAATCTTCCAATTTGTTAGTGTAAATCAAATGCTGCAAGATTCAACATTTTACACACTAGGTATTCAATAGCAGTCTCTGGTTCTCTACGAATTCAACTGAGGAATGACAAACATCAATCCTGTTTGTGAGTGCACCCATGTTTAATCGTTAAGGCTATCCCCCATCTAAAAGGGTAAAGTATAATAAACATGACCTTCTGATCTTTGAGTGGCTCCTCAACCATCTAATCTGACTCCTATCTCCAATAGTATCTGTCTTTTCTCCTAACATCCATGAACAACATCCACAGGATATTGGGTCTCTGTGAAGACGCTGAATACATTCTGGTTGAATTGGGTCAATGAATGAATATTTATTCTGTATTCCTATTCTTAAGTGTTTATGCAAGTTAATACATTTATTTTGCTAAAAGTAAACTGTAAGTTCTTCTACTAGGCTATAATTTCAGTAAAGGCAATGACCATGTCCCATCTGTATATGTATCAGCATAGTGTCTGGAATGTAATAGGTCATCAGTGATGAGTATCTAAAAGAGAGAGTGAAGAAAAAGACAAAAATTCATGTATATAACTTGACTATTTCCAAATTCAAATTAATTTTTATTTTAAATATATGCTTTTGTATTATGTTATTATTGTGCCTTTGGTTAGCATGGGCTCAACAGTAACAATAATTAATTTGGAGAAATTATCTCTTATAATCTTAACCATACCCAAGTAAAAGCTATCGTTATCCTAATTTTTCAGAGAAGAAACTTCAAAAGAAGTGTAGGTAAATTACTTAAGATGGAGCTGAGGTCCACAATTGTTAAATATAACAATATACTGGTTGTATTCAAGGACAGGAACTAAATGACTGGGAAAGCCTCTAACGTTTTAAAGCCTATTTACTTAGTGTTAAGGTACATGTTACGTTTAATATGCCAGTAGCAATTTGATTCCTTTCATACCACACCAGCTGGAGGATAACACATCAAGCACAGAATTCAAGAAATAGAAGCATAGCAGGTAAATACTAAGTGATGATAATTTTAAGCTATAAACCATGAGCTTGTTTTACTTTAAAGACAACAGATCACAAACAGAATACACTAGCACAGGATATTCGGTCTCTATGAGCATCACCTAATAATGAACTCTGATCAACATTTTTAGCAACTGAATTTTCCAAAAACAGTTAATTTGGTTAGCTATGGCAAGCACTGAGAATTGGCTAACCTAATGAGAGGTAGTAATGGATGTTAATATTCAGTTACTGCAATACAGATTACACTCTGTGAAGTTGCCTAACCTTCCATGTGTACTATTTAATAGACAATTTCTCTTTTAGCTTGTAGGGTTATTATAAGGAGAAAAGGAAACAAGTTCAAGTAAAGAACAGTGGAATCCTCCTTTCACAGTGAAATTTCATAGTAAGACAAGGATCTACTCATTAAAACCACCAAGACATTACAGAAAGTTTGCCAATAGGGATGATGGTATCCATTTTCCATCTGCACCCCAAGGTGCAAAGGGTGCTTCTTGTAAAACAAAAGCAATTTGTAAAAACAGGACATGATGTTTAACAGTCATTGGGCTACTAAACTTAGATAAAATGCATATATTCTATGTTTCTAAAAACAAACCCCTTAGTTTTTTATAGGTGTCAGGCTAATTTAGAGTGTTAGCAACAACAAAAGCATTAGAATGATTAGTTTTCATTAATTTTGGAGTCTAACCTTTTATTTTGTTGAGAAATCATAAAATGAGTCCCAATATATTTTACTAACTGAAAGCTCTATAAAAATACTACTGGAAATTTTCAATTCACACATAAAAATCTAAATCTAAAATTTGAATGTTTATCCTGCTTGCCTTCTGATAAAGTCTCAGAAGTGCAATGACATGAACTAAGACAAGCAAGCAGGGAAAGAGGGGCAACATGCCTTCAAAATCCCAAGGTTGAGTCCATTACACATTAAAATCGCAAACACCTTTTTGCAGAGAAAAAAAAAATCGACTGACTTATAATTAAATGTCAGATAAAATAACTGACATTAGATGCAATAAAAATTGGTTCTTCTAGTTTAACCACCAAATGAGTCAAAAATCATTTGAAACTTTAAAAAGAAGGTTCCTTAGAATTACTTTATTATATGCTAATCAGGGGGTTGTCTGACTTCTGTTTGAATATTTATAGAAGCTCATAATTTTGGCCACATAAATTTTGAAACTTCTGCTTAAATGGTCTTCATCTTAGTGTGCTATTTGCTTACTGAAGTAAACAGAAGAAATCAAATTATCCACATTACATTAAAAAAACTGGGAAAAACATTTATAACACACAGTATATGTATATAAAATCTAGGCCAGGTGTGGTGGCTCATGTCTGTAATCCCAGCACTTTGGGAGGCTGAGGCAGGTGGATCACCTGAGGTCAAGTGTTCAAGAAAAGCCTGGCCAACATGGCAAAACCCTATCTCTACTAAAAATACAAAAATTAGCCAGGCATGGGGGCAGGCGCTTGTAATCCCAACTACTCAGGAGGCTGAGGCAGGAAAATCGCTTGAACCTGGGAGGTGGAAGTTGCAGTGAGCCGAGATGGTGCCACTGCACTCCAGCCTGGGTGACAAGAGTGAAGCTCCATTTCAAAAAAAAAAAAAAAAAAATCTATAACGTGTACTAGTTACACTTTAAAAGATCAGTAAGCTACAAAAATCTTATATTTAATTACATATTCTTATGAGACTACGACTACTGTGGTTCAGGTAATTTAGCATACATAACAAATGAAATCTATAAAACAGATGAATAACAAAGACACTAGTTTTAAAAAGCAATTGTTACTAACTCTCAAGAAACAAAATATAAAAATATACCACCTGTTCCTTAACAACTGTGTACAGATTTTGTTAATGTTAATACATAATGCTTGTGAATACTTCTAAATGTATTCTTCTTCCAGTATTGGGGAAGAACTATATATTAATACAGTTCTTTTGGAAAATGGTTATTTGTTGGTTAAAAGCCCTGAAAAAAGATCGTGTCCTTTGACACAATAACTTCTGGGAATCTATTAGAAGGAAATAATCTGAAATATGAAAAATACAATGTATAAAGGTATTCATTTGCCACAGTATAATTTATAATAGTGCAAAATTAGAAACACCTATTAAATATACAACAAAGAGGAAATGATTAATTTTAATATAATACACTGAAACATTATGCAATAATTAAAATAATTCTTAGAATTCTGCCTTGAATGATAAAATGTTTACTTTATGATATCAAGTAAAAAAATACATAAAATGACATATATACATAATTGGTAAATGGAAAAAAAACGGATGGAAACACACGAACATTTAGGAGAGGTTCTCTCTGAAAAGCTATTTTTTTCTCTTTCGTGTGTGTTTTCCATATTTTATATAAAACAATGTAAGTGTACTACTTTTATAATACAAAAGAGTATTTCTCAAAGTATATTTCATGGAAAAGTACTTTCCAAAAACGTGAAAGATTCTGTTATCAAACATATCTGGAAAATATGGAATTAAAGTTAAAAGCATCTTAGCTACAGGCCTTCTCAAAGTCTTTAAATGCCTAAAGAAGAAAATACTGTGGATTGTTGCCCATGCTCATTTGAAGGAGAACTCATTATTTAGGAAACATTTCTCCAGACTAGAGTTAGGAGGAGAAGAAAAACCCTCTGGGAAATGTTATTTTAAAAAAATATTTAAAGAAAGAGTAAATCTTTGTAAAGTCTGAAATGTTTATTAAGTCTCCTACAAGTGGCTAAAATTAAGAGAAAGAAATATTATAATCTTTAAAATTCTCAAACCCTTTTCTTACATGAATTATCTTTCTTATCAAACTAGTACTTTCTTGAACTTTATGTTTAAAAGACCAAGAGCATAATTTAATCAATGCTTAAGGAGGAAAATCCTATTTCCTTCACCAAAGTGAAATATATCTATTTCTAATATTCCTTGGGGAGAAAATCCTAATATGTGAATAAGGAAACTTATTTCTCAAAATTAGAATTGTTGTAATTGTCTTCCTTTTCTTTTGACAAATATTGAGCATCTTTTACTTTAACAATGTCATAGATTACATAAAAACAAAAATTTTTAAAGGATGTTTAAAAAATTGAGGTATAACTATGAAAAAAATTCTTCCTACATTTTTCTCTTCAAATCCTGGCAAATATACAATGGGATGACAGACCCCCTTTGAACTACAGTGTTCATCACAAGTTACTTTTGTGTAGTGTGAGCTTCAAACCAGCAGAGAGAGATCTTGTCAATGGCTTTGTGCTATGGGCTCAACAATTTGCTTACTGTTTACTCTCCTGGTGTGAAGCCACTGTTCAGTAGTAAGCCATGATGGTGAGATACCAGCGCCTCAAGCCCAGTAGTATCCTCAGTTCATGAAATTCAAAGAACAAAGCCATCAATGTGGCTAGAACAATCTATCTGAAGTTGATTGACTTCTGTAAAAGTAGTATCCAAAATAAAAATCCCTGATACATTATAACCAGTTTCAGAACCTCTACCTGAACAGTTGAAGGGAGTTTTAAGTGATAACTGACTATATTAAAAACTAAAATTGTGATGTACCAGTTAGAATAACACATAGGAAAAATTATGCCATGAATAAACTGCAGTCTTATCAAGAATTAGATGCAAATGAATCAAGCTAAACTGCATCTTTTGAATACCCAATGCAGTGTTATACTTAAGTTATGTTTTTAACTAATTAATGTAGTTTCCTAAAACTGCTTTATAAAATAACGTTTTTTAGTTAATAAGGTTCTGAATGTTCACATTAGTGTTTAAGAATGAGGAACCAGACAACAGAACTAGAATGATAAA